TCCTTTGCGAAAATGCAATCTGCGGCTTTGTTTACGAGTTATTAACGGAAAACACTGACCAATGAGAGGTGACGGCGCGAAGTTCGAGAGCCCGCAGCACGAGGCTTCGACAGATGGTCGGGACGGACTCGAGCCGCGTTCGAAGTATTGAACAAATCACGAAGCGAGAACTTTCCGGATTTTTTTTTATTACATAACAGTGATATTTTTAAGAAAAACGCTGTTCACCTTTACTTTAGAACGTCTGAAGAATATTTACTAATTTTTCGGACTCGAAATAGTAAGTAATTTAACCGTGACGGCCGTTTTAATTTTCTAGTGTGCATGACACCTTGTGTGTAACATATGAAATTTTTAAGCAAGGTGTACAGTGAAAATTAACAAAGTACGTAAATGATATTTTAATTTAAATAATTTCGTGTCCGAACACAGTTCAATGAATGACTCGCAACGCTAATTTAATAAATAATAATCGTGTTAAAGGACGTAAGGGATATGTTCGTTAGAGAAATATGAACAATAACCTTGACATATGAAGGTCATGTCAAGGTCATATCAAGGTCATGTCAAGGTCGTATGAAGGTTATGCCAAGGTCATGTCATTAATGTTTCACGTGAACAGCATCTCTTTGATACAATTTATTTTGAACTCCTAGGAAACGGTTAATGATTATGGGGTATTATCCACTTTAAAAGATGCACGAATATTTTCTACACCGACTGTATAATACCACATAATTATTAACCGTTTCATATTTATTATAATATATATATATATATTAATAAATAATATATAATCATAATTAGGTTAAGCAATCTAAATTTGATTAGGATGTTAGTTTACTAAACAATGGCTAAAAAATTGTTTTCAAAAATTGCAATTAATTGGCATGATAAAAGAATTAAAAAATGATGTTTTTTCAACTTTTTTATCTGAGCTCATAACGAAAATTTAAAGAATGCATTTTATACTGAAAATTTCATAGAAAAATCAATAACAAGAAACAGAAATTAAATAAAAATATATTTTCCCTTTCAATGATCTTAATAAATCCGAATTAGCGTAACAATGTCCCTAATTTTTTCTGTTGTCTCCAAGGTTTCGTATTTTCTCTTTTAATAATTTTAGTAATTCGGAACTAATGTAACAATGTTCCTAATTTTTTCTATTGTTCCCAAGATTTTGTATTTTCTCTTTTAATAATTTGAATAAGTCGGAAATAATGTAAGGATGTTCTAAAATTTGTTTATTGTCTCCAAGTCTTTCGATGATTTTAATAAGCCGGAAATAATGTCACAATATCCTTAAATATTTTTATAAATGCATAAAATCCTCGAGTTTACTTATCACATATCCATATAAAATTATATGTATATTACGGATTTTCTAAAGGAGTCACGTGAATTTTCTCCGTAGACACACGCGCACAATGTATTTAGTGACACGATATTGGCAAGCTTTCTCTAATGCTGAATGTGTACCAGTGAAAAATTTTCCCGAACAACGTGTTGTTTACGAACAGAATTTCCTTTTCATACTGTCTATCGTCGATGTTTCGAAATAAGTTCTCCGTACTGTTTACCGGCTGTTATAGCAGCACTAAAGAACCACGCGATGCTATGTCGAATTCGTCGGAATCCCGGCGATAAATAACTAAGCGCGTGTACCTACAGTTTCCGCGAGAATACACCATGCATCGGCCAGGCTATATTTGCGGAAAAATCACTTTTCATGGTCCCGTCTATGCCGGACTACCAGCAGCTACTATTTTCGGGGTAAGTCAGGTTTTCGCGTGGCCGAGCTGTGTTTAAGGTCGATATTAAAGGAAACTGAGCGCGGCTCCTTTGTCGGAGGCAACCCATTAAATCCAACCAAACATCTTTATAACATGCGCCACTCGGTGGACCGGTTTATTTATGAACTACGGCCGTCTCGCGTTCCTCGCGCAAAATGCAATAAATAAAAACGGGACGGCGAAACGATAAATACGTGAGGCACCTTTAATGCGTGCTCTAAAAGGAGAAAATAGGAAAAAAATACAATTACTTCGTAGAACAGAAAATTAACGAGCGAAGTTCTGCCACCGTTGGCACCTCGACGAATACACCGGCAAAATATTTTTTAACGTTATTCCGGTGATTTTTTTGGTCAGTCTCGTAGCTTTGAGAGCACAGTGTTTAGAATAAATCAGAATAGATAAAACTCTGAAGAGCTCACTTGACATAATTGCTAATTGACATAATTTTACGTTCCTCGTAAATATGATGCTGCAAACCGGGACACGTTAAACACCTCGAATTAGGTGTATTAAAATTATTTGTTGAATTCATTTATTTTTTAATTAGGTTCGACGATATTAGTCGCGTCACCCATATACGGATGACAGAATTATTTATTTAGTCTCGAAAATTAATTTGTACAGTAATCTATTATATCTTCCTAATTTCATTAATTTCAGTTGGTTAAACAAAATACTTAAAGTGTTAATTAGCGAACATTCTGATCGAAATTCATTAACGTTCGCTGCATACTTTGTTCTATTCTTGTTTTATTCTTCGGAGAATTTGAAGAACGTAGAATCGGTCGAAATCCTAAAACTTTTGCTTCCCAAATTATTAAATTAATACGCAATTAATTAAATCATGAGAAAGTGTTTGATTCATGATTGGCTTTCAAAATCACGACAGCACAAATGTTAATGAATGCATAACATCACAATAAAGAATGACGTTAAATCAGAGCTAACGTAAACAATATAATTGATTTAACAAATTGCATATTTAATAGGTTAATTTCTCCACGTTGCGGGCGAAATATGTGAAGAGTCAATTAATTGTAAGATTTTCTAGCTGTCTCGATTTAAAGAAGCTTTAGTGTCCATTGCACTCGCTATCAATTATTTTCATTTGACAACAGTGCGGCACTTTTTCATCGATAGAACGTTATTAAAAATATTTATGAATTTGGCGCGATTTATTGAAAGAATGGTTAAATGTTTTCTACATTAAGTCAAATGCAATTATTTGTTTAGTAATCATTGTTGCACTCACAGTATTCTTATTGCACGAATAGTTTCCTTCTCCTCTGTTCTCATACGTGGTGCCTCCAAATTGATCCTGCGAACAACGAGAAAAGTCATAAATATAAATCACAATTACTGAACAATGATTTCCAAAAATTTCGTCAAATATTCATTAACATTTAACCCCCTTTTAATCAGTTCAATATGAAAGTTATTCCGTTCTTTTAAGTCAGGACAAAATTATTGCTAAATAAAATTCAAGTAAAATATAGCTACGTAATAAACATTAATTTTCATGTGCTTCTATGAAATTATTGTAATAAAAAGGCTCTAATTATTGTAACTGCGAAGACAATGGTACGGGAAGGATTTAAGTCGATGTGTAATTAGTAAGAAGATTACTTCGAATTATTGTTCCGTACAAGAAACTGCACGCTATGATACAGAAAAGTTTAATAACACGGCGATGTTGTTATTGTTTGCGTGGTGCGCGCGTATCAAGGATATTACGCTACTTCAGTATCGCTTAACACTGATAAGCAACTAACTCATTTGCATACAGATTTTCTCTGTAATTGTTCGGAAAACTCATTACTATAGATAGTACACGAGGAGGAAATGCAAAGCAGAGTTCACACCGCTGCAGGTGTAACATATATTAACGAGAAGACTGTCAGGCCTACAGTTCTGTTGTGTGGATGCAATATTATTAGTAGGTTTAAATAGCTCTCCAGACCTACTCTGCATCGATCACACAAACGATTTTGTTTACTTGGAGATTACGAGATTATGTTCACTCTATAAGGTCCGAATTTTTTATGTGGATATCGAAAATTTGTAGAACTCGGAATCAGCAAATATCGATTTCTAGATATAAAATAGCGACGAAATCACAATTGATTGAAAGATTGAACTCCGCGTGTTGCTAATAATGAAATTAAATTTTGAAAAGTAGTTCTAGTGAGTTACTGTATTTAGATTTTTAAATTGTATGTATATTTAATATATCCATAGCAATTAAGTCAATGAGTGGTGGGAATAACTTATTTATTATACCGATAGATTTTATGAAACTCCTTCCAGCTATAACACCTCCAGTTATTTTTGGTGGGAAAAAGCAGATGTTTTTATTTCAAGCAATAGATAATTAATTCTGAAAATATCCTCGCGTGGCATTACGCATTTAGATTAAAAAATATAATTTTCAGTTTAAACATCTTCTATTTTGGATTCTAATGAGAACCGATAATTTTATATATTTGCGAATAAAATATTTTCGTGACGATTAAACGGTCTAATAAATAATTTAATTAAAATATCTCGAAGATGCAACACTTTTTAATCCTCTTGAATATTAAACGCTGCTAAACGTTTATGTGAGTTTATATATATACAAATACGATGAAACAGGTGTATTTTGAAAAGTTTGGTTCAGTTTCAAACAGAATAATTTCACGTAAAAAATAAGTTAAAAATATTTTCGAAATGATCGTGTTTCAGTAGCCTGTATATCGGAATTTCGCCGAAATGCGGATATGTAAAAACAGTTGGAAAATTCATAAATTGGATTTACCAGAGAACGAGTTTTTGAACAGTAAAAATTGCATGTTACACTTTTTACTTATTTCTGTATGTAAATAGAATAATCTTCTGCTGATTGTACTGCTACCATATGTGTGTGTGGTTAAGAGCTGTACTCGGCAAATTAAAAAAAAAATTGAATTTTCCCAAAACGCAATCTCGAAAGGGAATATTCGATTTTATATTTCCAACTTAATTTTTCACGTAGAATCACACGTTGCCCTCTATTTTAATAGTCCTCCATCATATTCCCATGTAATTTTCACAATTTCATTTTTAATTTTCTCTGTAGAATCATATTTTCGATAGCACAATCAGTATTACTTTCTGCACTATGATATCTAGACTATTTTAGGCATTTATGGCGTCATGAAATGGTTGCGATTTAAAATAGCGGTAAGATTAAAAGAATATTAAAATTTCAATGTATGTATTATTTTTAAACGACTAAAATTATAATAAGAAGAAAGAACTTTCTGTTCAATTTATAATTCTTGCAATTGACGCAGGCAATTTTTATGTTGGATAAAAATCCGCAGCCTAATGATGCTGTTTAGCTGTCTTTTTTCTATAAATACTTGAAAATATGCGTACATTAAATATTACAATGTCTAGGTATGCTTAAATTATTTAAATTACTTAAATTACTCCCTCATTCAATTCAATCTTATTTAATAAAGATATTTGGAATATTCTTCTTTAATAAAAAATATATAATACTAATTATATTGTTGTACTTAGATATTATAATTGTGTTTTATATCGACAAACACGCTCATTACACATTGTACTCAATGCATGCTAATTTTCAATATTTTCATAATTATATATTTTTTTTAATTATATTCATAATTTTCAAAAAATCTTAACTCCTGCGCAAATTGCAACGGGATCGATATCCAATTAAGATAAACACCTTATTTGTAACTCCATCGCATTAAATAAAAATAGTGTTAATTAAATAAATTACATAATTTTGTGGAAAATGACACCTTTACGATTGACCAATTCTGGTCGCTTTTCCTTGACCGCTGCATTCAATTTGTCCAGTTGCTAACATTCACGGATAATAAAAAATATCATAATAATAATAACAATAATTTTATAATATAACATTTACGGATATCATAAAAATGGGAGTGAGAAACATCTATAACTGAAATCGGCAATTACTTAGTTGCCAACCCAATACCTTCGTAACCTGTTAATTTACAATGCTTACTTGTTTCGCCTATTATCGTTAATATATTCGTTGAACTGTGTTCGGACACGGAATTATTTAAATTAAAATATCATTTACGTACTTTGTTAATTTTCACTGTACGCCTTGCTTAAAAATTTCATATGTTACACACAAGGTGTCATGCACACTAGAAAATTAAAACGGCTGTCACGGTTAAATTACTTACTATTTCGGGTCCGAAAAATTAGTAAATATTCTTCAGACGTTCTAAAGTAAAGGTGAACAGCGTTTTTCTTAAAAATATCACTGTTACATAGTAAGAAAAAATCCGGAAAGTTTTCGCTTCGTGATTTGTTCAATACTTCGAACGCGGCTCGAGTCCGTCCCGACCATCTGTCGAAGCCTCGTGCTGCTGGCTCTCGAACTTCGCGCCGTCACCTCTCATTGGTCAGTGTTTTCCGTTAATAACTCGTAAACAAAGCCGCAGATTGCATTTTCGCAAAGGAGAAAGTTACTTCAAATGACCTCAGCTACCCCTCATTTTCGGCTGTTAAAATAATTGTGGAACACCTTGTATATCACATGAACAGAGATTTTTGAAAAATTTGTTAAAAAGTTACAACAAAAGTCCAAACTGATAACGCACCGCTTTCTTGATCGATACACCTTTTGTAACAACTCCATTTCAGCTTATCGTCCGTTATTACGAATGCATAACTGACAGATAACGGCAATGTGTGATCGTACACCGCGTCGACCAAAACACCGGTCCGTAATCATTTTGTATTGTTATTATAACTTTTTTGATTATAACTCATTATAACTTATAAAGCCCATATTTGATAACTTCTTTTCTCTTATTTTTATTTGTAGAATATCCTGGTCAGATTTTGCGGAAAGGTATTGGGACACCCGGTGTGTTATATTTTATGAAAGATATTCATCTAGGTGTCGGAAAAGTGATTCAACGGCAGTGACAAGCGTGTATCTCTCGGATCCGATAAACGATGTCATCAGGAAGCCTGGATCAATGATTTGGCCCCGAAAAAAGAAAATACATTTGTCACGTACCCGACGACCCTCTAATTACCCAATGATGAAACGTTACACGTCTAGTTTACACGCGCGTACTATCAATTTCTGTTCCGCGGGACCGGTCGGCAATTTCGTACAGCCGAATTCGCTGAAGTTTCGATCGAAAGTCAATAATTGCACAGGCAGAGGGTTTGAACACCGTGTAATTCGGCGACGAATTGAGTGACCGCTTTCATACTACATTTTCGCTTTATCTTGGCATTACCATACGCCCCGAGTAGAGTCTTTGCAACGGAACGATCGGAACTGCTATTACCTAAATGTTGTATCAGTAAACGGAACTCTGTCACCGTGATTCCCTGTTCTCCTTTCACCATCAACGCTATTTGTGCTTCGTTCATCGTAGTCCCACGCTGACTAGACTGTTATGCAATATTTAGAACCTCTGATTCCCGAGTCGCGTACGATATGTTTGAACTGTCCTCGGAGGCAAACAACCGGTTCATAAAGAAACAGAGATCCACCCACCGCTATTCCTCTGCACCGGCGTCCATTAAATTTCAGGAATCGTTTACAATCAGGACTTGAATTTAACTACAATTTAACTGTAAGTAATTGTGCTATGAATAACTGTGTTATGAATTATAAGTCGTATAATAAACTTTTAACTTCTGAATCATTTCTTTTCTCGTTTTAACCCTTTCAGCGTCGAACAACGATATATCGTTGTTGGCTACACTCGAGGAAATGTTGTTTTCTCAATATTTTTAATAGATAACAGTTTTATTTTGTATCGCTTCTTCCTCTTTGAATTTTCTAATTAATCAGGTTTCACGAAATTGTCGCAATTTCTTCTCGGAATTTTACCAAACTACATCACTCTTTTGGTCGGCACTAGGAGGATTATGTTGAATTTTACATTAACACTTGAATTCTGTTGTAAAAGTTCAATTTTAGCAGTTATTTTGTATACGATTGATACAAATTTTGAACAGATATTTCAAGGTAAAATATGAAAGTTTATACTATATTTCAATTTACTTAGTGTTGTTTAAGAAACTCGAAGCAGGATGAATATAGATTATTATGAATATAGATTATGAATATAGATTATGAATATAGATATAGAAGCGAGTCGTGATTTTGAAGTACGTAATTTATTTTTGCGCTTATATTGAAAGAAAAATTTGGAGAAATAAAGAAACGCTATGTATTTCCGATTTTTCTCACTTTCGAAGGTATATGGAATATACGTTTCAGTGGATTTACAACGGTTTTCTTCGAAGAGAAAAATT